CATGTGTTAGAAATCATAAATTGGGGTAACTCATCGCTTTAGTGAACTGTCTCACTTGCTGTTTGCTAGGTGCATGCTTATCCTAACCTACATTAGTAATATAAACATTTCATAAAGATAGTTGCGTAGCTAATACACGTAAGGAAAGTTTTAGGCTATTGCAAACAGAGCATATTTATAGGCAATTGATCTTGGTGCGTCCAATGAATCTATACGTGATCTACAGAAGACATTCAAAAACATGTACCATCTTGTACTTTTACCCACGAAAGTGTTGGCTGCACCCTAAGATATCCGAAAACTTAAGCACGAGAACTGTTCAGCACTACGAAAAATCAGCATAAGGAAAATCCAACATAAGGAATAATCAGCACAAGAATATTCGGCATCCAGTACATACTTCGGAGTTATCCAGTACCCGAGATATTTAAAGGCTTTCACCCAATTTATTTTATGTGTTCTACATAAAATGTCAAATTTTGGATTCCCAATGTATCGAGCGGACCATAAAGCTTCAGTTTTATCATAGTTTATAGGTTGAACTACCAAACCTGAGTTCTAAATCAATAATCGTAGTTCTAAATCCAAACACTGTTCAGTGTATCTAACTCCTATCCTACTGGCCAATACTGCAGCCAAATCATCTGCAAAAAGAATGATACAGAATTATATAGGAAGTCTCCCATATCCGCATGATACATTATAAAAAGAGTAGGAGTAAAAATAGAACCTTGTGACCCTCCTCTTCTTATTGGAATCCAACGTAATCTTTTTCCTTGGATCTCAATGAACGCTCTGCAATTTTCTTACCAAGCTTTTATCCATTTTAAACGTGCTTTCGGGATTCCCATTCTCCTCAGCTTACCTAAACAACCTTCGAACCACAACTGATCAAAGGCACTCCTAAAATCTACAAAAACCGTGGCAACCGATGAGCTGTTTGCCATATACGATGACACTTGTTCTAAGTAGTAATTTATACTTAAACAACATCAACCGTATGTGTTGATGTCCGATAATTAGACTTTTTCTAATTCCTAAACTCGTGTCGTTGTTATCAGTTAATGATCATCATATACAAGATAGAGAAAGACGTTGAATTTGCTGTACCCATTCTCAGAACAACCACGTCACTAAACTGACTTGACAGCATCAATGCGGTGTCGCAACGGCGCATTGTCATCTTTTGATGAACATCCTTACCGGTAGTAATCGCTTTTCTCCGCTCCTAAAGAAAGAGAGTTTCAAGAATAGAAACTTTTCTTCTAACTTCTACTCGGCAGCACCATCAAACAGGAAATTGAAGAATAATTCCATTTTCGTCGCACAGTTACATCCTACTCTCTCAAATACCCCAAAAACTCAACGTCTAACCCGAAGTTCAGATCAGCAGCACCTAGCAAACAGCAAGTGAGACAGTTCACTAAAGCGATGAGTTACCCCAATTTATGATTTCTAACACATGCGTGTCACATTTACTCAGAATATCGATTCTGCGCTGAAAACTAGCATGTTTATACAGAAAATGAAAACTATCTTCTTGTGGCTTCTAACCTCTGACAGCACACAACTACAGAAAATATATAACAGGTACCCGATGCGAAGAATATTCTAGCCCTAACTGAATCAATAACTGCGACTAACTCAGCGCAACACTTAGAACATCAGCACTTAGTGCAACCTAACGAATTAAGGTCAATCCAATTGCACATTCTCCAGCAACATCCTCTGAAAAACCCGAAAAAACCCTACAGCCGACAAACATATTCATCTTTCCAACAAATCTTCAGCTTCGCCACCTCTGACAATGCGTTCTACACCGCACCGCAACCACAACGAACAAAATGACCACAGAAAAACAATCAATGATGATGCAGCTGGTGAAGGATGCCCATCAACTGACTATTCACTTACCTTGTAGATGTTCCATTACACCAGATGACATTTCACTGTCGTCGCACCAATGGTCATTTGGCCATGATGAGTTACACAGCCAATTGAATGAGTGATCATGCAGCTGGTGAAGGGTGCCCAGTAACTGACTATTCACTTACCTTGTAGATGTTCCATTACACCAGATGACATTTCACTGTCGTCGCATCAATGGTC